GGTGAGAGAGAATGGTGAGGGAGAGTGGTGAGGGGGAGTGGTGGTGGTGAGGGTGAGTGGTGAGGGAGAGGGGTGAGTGGTGAGGTTGAGTGGTGAAAGAATGGTGAGGGAGAGTGGTGGTGGCGAGGGTGAGAATGGTTGGTGAGGGTGAGTGGTGAGTGTGAGTGGTGAGGGAGAGGGGTGAGTGGTGAGGGAGAGTGGTGAGGGTGAGTAGTGGTGGTGAGGGTGAGTAGTGAGTGGTGAGGGTAAGTGGTAAGAGAGAATGGTGAGGGAGAGTGGTGAGGATGAGGATGGTTGGTGAGGGTGAGGGAGAGGGGTGAGGGCGAGTAGTGTTGGTGAGGGTGAGTAGTGAGTGGTGAGGGTGATTAGTGAGTAGTGAGTGGTGAGGGTGAGTGGTGAGCGTGAGTGGTTAATGGAATAGTGGTGAGTAAGAGTGGTGAGTGGTGAGTAGTGAGGGTGAGTGGTGAGGGTGAGTGGTGAGGGAGAGGGGTGAGTGGTGACCGTGAGCGGTGAGGGTGAGTGGGGAGGATGATTGGTGAGGGTGATTGGTGATTGGGTAAATACCCCAAAACCACTAACAACTGAAAAAATTACCCCAAAACCACTAAAAACCAAAAAATACAAAAAAAACACGAAAAAAAATAAATTAAACGAAAAAAACAATAAATAAAAATAAAAAACTGAAAAAATACCGCAAAACCATTAAAAATTGGGTAAATACCCCAAAACCACTAACAACTGAAAAAATTACCCCAAAACCACTAAAAACCGAAAAATACCAAAAAAAAACACGAAAAAACTAAATAAAACGAAAAAAACTATAAATAAAAATAAAAAACAAAATACCGCAAAACCATAAAAAATTGGGAAAATACCCCAAAACCACTAACAACTGAAAAAATTACCCCAAAACCACTAAAAACCGAAAAATACCAAAAAATAAAATGCAAAAAATAAAGTAAACGAAAAAGCACTATAAATAATAAAAAAACTGAATAAATACTGCAAAACCCTTAAAAATTGGGTAAATACCCCAAAACACTAACAATTGAAACAATTACCCCAAAACCACTAAAAACCGAAAAATACAAAAAAAAACACGAAAAAAAGAAATGAAAACGAAAAAAACACTATAAATAAAAATAAACAACTGAAAAAATACGGCAAAACTGTAAAAAAAATTGGGTAAGTACCCCAAAACCACTAACAACTGAAAAAAATACCCCAAAACCACTAAAAACCGAAAAATACCAAAAAAACACGAAAAAACGAATTAAAACGAAAAAAAAATACACTAAATAAAATGACAAACTGAAACAAGTAAACCCGTAAAAACAAAGTTTTTCACTATAAATCCTTTATATGTGTGGCGGCTAGAGTCTTCTCGTCCTCTGGTTTGAGATGGCTACCACCTATGGGTCAGATGATTGTCTGCCAGTATTAAGCAATTGGTAATTAAATATTTAATTTGTTTTCCCTAAACAGTGTAAAATTTTTGAAAAAAAATTTCACAAAATTGTCACGCACAACGAGTCTGTGTGGAAAATGTCAGCTCGATTGGATCACGGGAAGTGGGTTAAAAAACGAGCGAAAGATTTGCACGGTCCTAAGCAAGCAAGCAAGCGAACTTAATATAAAGGATTTAAAAATATTCGCCTGTGGAGGACGCGGGGATCGATCCCGCGACCTTTGGCATGGGAAGTGAGGGCGCTACCAACTGCGCTACTCCGCCACAGCCTGTGGAGGGGTTACGCTCTGGGCTCCTACACTCTGACGTTCAGCCAAAGCCATGAATGAGTTGTATTTGAATAAATGTAAAATAAATTTTTTTTGCCTAAAAAGTGTAAAAATTTAAAAATAAATTTTAATGAACATTAATTGTCTCGCACAACGAGTCTGTGTGGAAAATGTCAGCTCGATTGGATCACGAGAAGTGGGTTAAAAAACTAGCGAAAGATTTGCACGGTCCTAAGCAAGCAAGCACGCAAGCAAGCAAGTGAACTTAATATAAAGGATTTAAAAATACCGCAAAACCATAAAAAATTGGGTAAATACCCCAAAACCACTAACAACTGAAAAATTACCCCAAAACCACTAAAAACCGAAAAATACCAATAAGAACAAAAAAAGATGAAAAAACTAAATCAAACGAAAAAACACTATAAATGAAAATTAAAAACTGAAAAAATACCACAAAACCATAAAAAAAATTGGGTAAATACCCCAAAACCACTAACAACTAAAAAAGAATAACCCCAAAACCACAAAAAACCGAAAAATACCAAAACAACAAAAAAAACACGAAAAAACTAAATAAAACGAAAACATAAATAAAAATAAATAAACTGAAAAAATACCGCAAAACCATTAAAAATTGTGTAAATACCCCTAAACCACTAATTGAAAACATTACCCCAAAACCACTAAAAACCGAAAAATACCAAAAAAACAAAAAAAAAACACGAAAAAACGAAATGAAACGAAACAAGTAAACCCGTAAAAACAAAGTTTTTCACTATAAATCCTTTATATGCGTGGCGGCTAGAGTCTTCTCGTCCTCTGGCTTGAGATGGCTGCCACCTATGGGTCAGATGATTGTCTGCCAGTATTAAGCAATTGGTAATTAAATATTTAATTTGTTTTCCCTAAACAGTGTAAAATTTAGAATTTTTTTTTCACGAACATTAATTATCTCGCACAACGAGTCTGTGTGCAAAATGTCAGCTCGATTGGATCACGGGAAGTGGGTTAAAAAACGACCGAAAGATTTGCACAGTCGTAAGCAAGCAAGCAAGCATGCAAGCAAGCAAGCACGCAAGCAAGCAAGCAAACTTAATATAAAGGATTTAAAAAACACTATAAATAAAAAAAAACTGAAAAAATACGGCAAAACCATTATCAATTGGGTAAATACCCAAAACCACTAACAACTGAAAAAATTAACCCAAAACCACTAAAAACCAAAAAATCCCAAAAAACTAAAAAAACAAGAAAAAAACGAAATGAAACGAAAAAACACTATAAATAAAAAAACTGAAAAATACGGCAAAACCATTATCAATTGGGTAAATACCCAAAACCACTAACAACTGAAAAAAATTACCCCAAAAACCACTAAAAACCGAAAAATACCAAAACACAAAAAAAAACACGAAAAACGAAATAAACGAAAAAACACTATAAATTAAAAAAAAACTGAAAAAATACCGCAACCATCAAAAATTGTGCAAATACCCCAAAACCACTAACAACTGAAAGAATTACCCCAAAACCACTAAAAACCGAAAACTACAAAAAAAACACGAAAAAACTAAATAAAACGAAAAAAAACACTATAAATAAAAAAAACTGAAAAAATAGCGCAAAACCATAAAAAATTGGGAAAATACCCCAAAACCACTAACAACTGAAAAAATTACCCCAAAACCACTAAAAACCGAAAAATACCAAAAAAACACGAAAAAACTAAATTAAACGAAAAACACCATAAATTAAAACTGAAAAAAACCGCAAAACCATTAAAAATTGGGTAAATCCCCAAAACCACTAACAACTGAAAAAATTACCCCAAAACCACTAAAAACCGAAAAAATAACAAAAAAAAACAAGAAAAAACGAAATTAAACTAAAAAAAAACACTATAAAAAAACTGAAAAATACCGCAAAACCATTAAAAATTCTAAAAATACCCCAAAACCACTAACAACTAAAAAAACAAAAAAACGAAATAAAACGAAAAAAAACTATAAAAAATAAAAAACTGATAAAATACCGCAAAACCATTCAAAATTGGGGAAATAGCCAAAACCACTAACAACTGAAAAATACCCCAAACCGAAAAATACCAAAAAACCTAAAAAAAAACGAAATAAACGAAACGAAAAAAACACTATAAATAAAAATAAAAACTGAAAAAATACCGCAAAACCATTCAAAATTGGGTAAATACCCAAAAACCACTAACAACTGAAAAAATTACCCCAAAACCACTAAAAACCGAAAAATACCAAAAAAAACCACGAAATAAACGAAAAAAACACTATAAATAATAAAAACTGAAAAAATACCGCAAAACCATAAAAAATTGAAAAAATACCCCAAAACCACTAACTGAAAAAATTACCCCAAAACCACTAAAAACCGAAAATACCAAAAAACTAAATTAAACGAAAAAAACACTAGAAATTAAAAAAAAAAACTGAAAAAATACCGCAAAACCATTCAAAATTGGGCAAATACCCAAAACCACTAACAACTGAAGAATTACCCCAAAACCACTAAAAACTTAAAAATACCAAATAAAATTAAAAACACGAAAAAAATGAGTAAAACGAAAAAACATTATAAATAAAAATAAATCAACTGAAAAAATACGGCAAAACCATTATCAATTGGGTAAATACCCCAAAACCACTAACAACTGAAAACATTACCCCAAAACCACTAAAAACCGAAAAATACCAAAAAACTAAAAAAAACACAATTAAACGAAAAAACACTAGAAATTTAAAAAAAAAACTGAAAAATACCGCAAAACCATTCAAAATTGAAAAAATACCCCAAAACCACTAAAAAGCCGCCAATGGGCTTCTTAATAGTCGGCCTTCCAGGCCATTTCAGTCCAGAGCACTTGGGGTTGCCACTGCCACATCCTCTTCTTCTGCTGGAGTCTCAGTGGGGTTCCTTTTACAACCAACATAAGACATCTTGTAGTCGATCCTGCCACTGCCATAACTGTAACGACTCCAACACTTAGAAAAGGTGTGAAAAGATTTTATATTCTGCAGCGTGCGTTCATGACAGCTTCCACCATCAAAAGCACCCTGAACCTTCCCCGATCCTCTTCTCTCTTTCTCTCCCGTTTCTCTCCATCCAATCGCTTCTCTCATCCCGTTCCTCGTCACACCTCTTCTCATCTCCCATTTGCTGCGCACACCTTCCGACACTCTCACCTTCCACGTCGGGAGGTACGTCTGATGTCATTTGTCGCTCTCCACCAATGGCAAGTGAACGTATTCGTTGGTGCACTCTTTCAGCCAATAGAGAGCCAATATAGAGCCATCTTGCTCGTCGGCTCTGCGGTCCACATCATGCTCACCCATGTGTCTGATTACCTCTCCGTCTGTACATGTAAGTACACTATATATATTGTATACACGTATGGTGCGGAGGGAATGACAACACAAAAAAACTGTTCTAGAGAAATTAGTTTGTCAATCTAGATGATGATGTAAAAGTATAGAGCTCAAGTAGCTTCCTAATTCCGGGTGGAAGAGCGTTCCAGAAGGCTGCAGAAGCACATCTAAAAGCACACAATGAGGTGACCGTCTTTGTTCGATAGCCAGACAAGAAGCCGCCGTTGCTGCGTAGATGAGCGGAGTTCCCATGATAATGGTTTATAGCTCCTTGACGAGATCAGAGCAAGGTATTGTGGTTCATTGAGGCGAAAACTTTGTGTGTGGTGATGAGTGCCCTTAAGAGTACTGTACTGTTTGTATGGAAATCCACTGTTATGCTGATGGGAAGATGAAACACAAAGACAAAAATTAGTTTAACATGGATGCTTTCGCGACCAATATCCAAAATCCAGATTTTTTTTGGGTTAGATCGCCTAAATATAGCATTAACAGACTGTTGGGGCAAGCGCTGTTAGCGAGCACCTATGAAGGCCAGAACAGCCAGACGGGAGGCTGGGTGGCCAGCACCACGCCCAGCCGCCTTGGTCTCCCCGAGTGGTGATGTTTACACACCACACCAGGTACTTATTTTAGGCTGAGTCGACCAAGGGGAAGAGGCCCAGGACCGGTTTTGATAATCGTAAGTGATAGTGTTGATGACCGTGAGCGGGAATCGAACTCGAGTGTCTGCTGGTTTCTTAGCGCAGTGCTAACCATCACACTACCACTCCCCGAGCGCAGACATGCACACGTTTCAGAAAACACGTCTCATGGTCAAAATAAGTCCGAAAAACAAACAAGGAACGCACTGGGGAGCAGGAGGGAGTCGTGTTTGGTGTGATAATAAAGCATATTACAGTACTTCGTGGAGACAGGCCACGTGTCAAAGCCAGTTTGAGTCACGGGTGGCTGAAAGCCGGATTCTGAACCAGGATCTCAGCCGTGATGGCTCAGAGGACAATGATGTGGCTGTCAAGAGGCCCTATAAACCACCCAGCTACCTCACTGGAGGAGGAGGAATTGAAAGTATTGCAAATCTAATTCCCATAAGGTATTATCGGTTAGAGGCCCGATTAAAGAGAAGTCCCCGAAATACGAACTCTCGACTTACGAACATCCGCACTTATGCCACGATTTAAGCGCCCCATCCGTCGCACGTTCTTTCGCTATCAACCGTTAGCTCAACTTATCGATACCCAATCCCGGCACCACGTTACCACACGGTAACCTCGCCGTGATGTTTCTGGTGATTAATGAACTCAAGCACTGAGACACGCATGCAGCGAACATTCATGCGCCAGATGGCAGCCCAAGCGTTTAGCGTCCCTGACCGGCTATAATCTATTTCATGTGCGCTCAATAAATAAATAATCTACAGATACTGTTTACAAATGACGACTATTTTTTTTCATAAAAAATGATAAACAACTATTAAATACATTAAGTATAATGGACCAGGTGATATATTATGGAAAATAATAGGCTTTTTTTACCCTAAAACAAATAGACACACGCATTTTACAAGGCATCAAGTACTGCATTCAGCACACGAGTGCTTGTGGCAAAACATGCAAACAAACCTGCTCTGATGAAGGTATCTATTTGGCTGTTTTTAACATCTGAACACAATTCCTGTTTTATTGCCGGAAAATGGTAAACCCTATTTTTATTTTTCATAACTTTTGATTACTGGCCAAAAAGGGGCCCATAGATAAGGTTAAATATATCAAGAACACCAACTTTTCACACGGATGGTTGTACAGTGTAACCCTAACCCTAAATGGTCCCATCTTTAGCAGAAGTACTACTACTAGTAGTAAGTTCTGTACCACATTACGATTCACTATCCCATTTCTAGTAGTAGTAACTACTACTAGTAGTTCTTCTAGTAGTAGTAGGTGTTACTACTTACTGATAGTGGTAATACCTACGACTGCTAGTACAACTCCTAGGTCTACGACTTCGATAACCAATCTTGGCTCACTCTCCCACTCTACCCACATACCTGCCCCCCCCCTCCACTGATCTCCCTCCACTGATTTCCCTCCACTGATTTCCCTCCACTGACCTCCCCCCACTCACTCTCCCACTCACCCCCATTATATCCCAGTACTGGCCGGGTCCCTCTGAGAACCAATCGACGGCCGCTGTGAAGCAGCGAGAGACCTCCCTGTGCCCACATTACCACCGCAGCAACGATCGTCACGCAGCAGTCGAGCATCCGTAGAGCAGCAGTAGAACAGCAGTAGAGCAGGCTGCTGCTGCTGCATTGTCGCCCACAGCACAGCCCCCAATTCACTCACTACATTCACAGTGAACACACAGACAAGTCTTCACAAATGTACGTACTTTGAGAAGAAGACCAACAAATTATCAGAGATTTTGTTTATTTTCTATTCTGTAGCCACTGCCCAGAAGTGGGCCCCAAAACAAAACAATCAGCGTCTCAAAAGTTTAGTTGTGTGGAAATACAGATTGGTTGTTGTTAGATAGTCAGAGACAGGGAGGGAGATAGCCAGAGAGAGAGGCAAAGGGACAGGGAGACAGACAGGCGGAGAGATAGACTGAGCGAGGGACAAGGAGACAGATAAAGAGAGATACAGGGAGAGAAAGATAGAGTCAGAGGGAGGGAGAGGAGAGATGATGGCTGCGCTGATGAACGCGGCTGTGGCGGTCTCCGCTCTCGCGCTCTGTATGGCCATTCAGGCTGCGCGTACCCAGGATGTCTGCAGCAGCAGCAGCAGCCTGAACATCAGCGAGAACGCGTCAAGTGCGAGCACGAAACTCGCCTACTCCATCGCCACGTCCGCCTCCAACTTCACCCGAAACTCGAGAATCAACGGTAAGGGCACACGGACAAAAGGTCCCCACGCGTAGCCTCTAAAAGGATGTCGGGGCAAAGTACCGCTCGCGAGTAGCAGCAGTAGCACCTATAATGGAACTGAAAACTCAACTACGTTTTTTTATTGTACCAGGTAAGGCCCCACTGAGCGTGGTAGCTCCTTTTCAGAAGCGATCCTGGCTATCACAGATGATAGCTCAACGAAGGGGCTTATCATCATCACAATTTATAGCAGAAGCAAAATAACTCTAAAGGCGTGATGTTAATTCTAAATGTGGAGGGACAAACCGGAGGACCCGAGGAAATATCCAAGCGACCACGGGGAGAGAGACACCACAAACTTACAGGCATCAGAGTGAGAGAGACAGAGAGAGATGCAAACTCCAAATCTAACAGGCGTCAGTGTCAGATTGAACCCACGACCTCCTGTTTGACCAATAGGGAGGCCATCCTAGATCGCGTCAGGGCATGGATCAGCCTCCCATTGTATCTGTACCAGATGGAAATTCCCCCAATACAGCCATCAAAGGCTTTACAAACTACGTGGTTGAAATAGATGTTAAATAATGAGGGAGCCATATTACTTCCCTGTCGCACCCCAAGGTGTACAGGGAATGGCTCCGACTCCCGGCCACGTAGTTTTACCCGCGTCTGCCCACCATAATGAAGGTCTTTTATGATTGTGAGCAGAGAGTCAGGGACTCCGATAGCACGAAGAACAACCCAGAGACCAGGCCTACTGATGATATAATAGCAGAGGTGGGACAAAGTCATTGTTATGCAAGTCCAAGTCGAGTCTGAAGTCATCAAATTCATGACTCGAGTCTGACTCGAGTCCAAGTCACATGACTCGAGTCCAAGTCACATGACTCGAGTCCACACCTCAGAGGTGGGACAAAGTCATTGTTATGCAAGTCCAAGTCGAGTCTGAAGTCATCAAATTCATGACTCGAGTCTGACTCGAGTCCAAGTCACATGACTCGAGTCCACACCTCAGAGGTGGGACAAAGTCATTGTTATGCAAGTCCAAGTCGAGTCTGAAGTCATCAAATTCATGACTCGAGTCTGACTCGAGTCCAAGTCACATGACTCGAGTCCACATCTCAGAGGTGGGACAAAGTCATTGTTATGCAAGTCCAAGTCGAGTCTGAAGTCATCAAATTCATGACTCGAGTCTGACTCGAGTCCAAGTCACATGACTCGAGTCCACATCTCAGTATAATAGGCCTTGTCCAGGTCAATGAAGCAGAGATGTAGGTCTTGTTAGAATTCCCTACACCTCTGCTGTAGCAGAGGGACATAAATATGGCGTCTGTGCAGGACAGCCCTTTCCTGAAACAAAATTGGGTTGCCATCTCCACGCCCGGCCAAGTTTGTCTCCCCAGTGACGATGTTTACACACCACACGAGGTTTTCGTTTGAGGCTGATTCGACATAGGGAAGGCCCATAACTGGTTTAGCATCCTCACTGATGTGGGCCGTGAGCGGGAATCGAACTCGGGTTGCCACTTTCGTAGTGCAGCACACTGACTACCGCTCCCCACATACACACTTTCACACACGCGCAAATGCGCATGCACGCACAAAGGCATACACAAACACTCTCAGCACGAGGCTGACCCGTTACATCTCTCGAAGGATCGCTCCACTGAACAAAACAGTTCTGCAGTTTAGTTTGCAAGTGCGAGTAGCATTTTAAGTCAATTAAAAAAAATCATGGAAGCTGGTTCGTAAATGCGGGTGTTCATAAGTCGAGTGTTCGTACATCTGTAGTGCCTGAAAGTACGCGTCACGTGCTGAGGTCGGTGTGCGCGCACGGGGCATACAGTGGGAGCAAATAAGGACATGGGGCGCTGATTGGCTGGTTGTTGTTGTCGAGATGTGGGGCGGCGCTGTCTGAGGATGGTAGCAGGTGGCAGGGAGTAATTAAGGACGCAGGGCGCTGATTGGCCGAGAGGGTGTTGTTGTCGCGGAGTGGCGCCGCATTGTTGGGAAAAACATGCCAGGTGCCAGCGGGGGCTGGGAGCAAGTGGCGTCGCGGGGGATGCCCCACATTAATTGGGGATTAATTGGCTCGGGGATAAAGAGAGGGGTTTTTGGAGGAGACGGGAGTTTGCGCCTGGGAGGAGACAGAAGATGGAGGAATCGAAGCAGCAGAGCTAATATCAGTGTAGAGTAGCAGTGGAGAAGTGTAGGGTAGCAGTGGAGAAGTGTAGGGTAGCAGTGGAGAAGTGTAGGGTAGCAGTGGAGAAGTGTAGGGTAGCAGTGAGACGACGAAGCCAGTAGAAAGCGGCTGGAGTGTGGGAAGAGAAGCGGATATAGTTACGACAGAGTGGGACGGCGGAGCTGAAAAAGAGCAGCTGAACTGTGGCGGAGAGAGTGGAGTGCAGAGGTCGCAACCGGGTACCCGATACCCGTACCCTAGCCGATACCCGGCTACCCGTACCCGGCCAGGTACGGGTACCCGTTTGCGACCCTGGTGCGGCCGGGTACGGGTAAGAAATCAAAACCCGTTTGCGACCTCTGGTGGAGAGGAGAGTCGACGGAGGAGTGATGGGGAGCGAGTGAGGCCAGTGTAATGCGGCGAGCGAGCGGAGATTGCGGAGGAGAAACGTGGATCGGTGTTAGCTGGAGGAACGTTGAGCGATGTTAGATGGAGGAGTGTTGATAGGTATACGCGGAATAAAGTGAAAGAGGAAAGACAAGAAGCTGTCGTGTCGAGTCGAGCGCTACACATCGATGACCGCCTTATATTATCAAAGCATATTTGAGTTGGAGGGATGTCTGTGGGGTCTTTGTGTGGGTCTCTGTGTGAGTTTATGGGTCTCTGTGTGAGTCTACGGGTCTCTGTGCTAGTCTACGGGTCTCTGTGTGCCCTGCAGTCACCATCGAGGGGACATTCGAGAACTTCCTGCTGCTGACGATGGACGTGATCTCCAAGCTCCCTGTGGGCACCTTCGAGAAGCTTCCGGCAAACACCACGTTCCTCGCCAACGTAACGGGACTCGAACCTATACCCCAGCCACATCGTGGGCTCACGGCCCGGCCATTCATCCCGACTCAGAGTCCTCCCTCATCGCTCCCTCCCTCCACCCTCCACTCCCTCCACCCTCCCTCTCTCCACCCCCTCCCCTACCTCCACCCCCACTCCACCTCCCCCTATTTATCTAACCCCCCCCCATTCTCCATATCCCTCGCCCTCTCTTCTGCCCCTCCCTCCACCAGCATTGGTTCAAGCAGAGCCTGACTCTGCTGCTGATGATACACTGAATGTCAGAACCAGACCTTACCTATGAACATCTGGACAGTTCACCAGCATTGATTCAAGCAGTGCCTGATTCTGCTGCTGATGAGACACTAAATGTCGAAACCGGTCGTCAGCTCAGCAGCATAACTCCCCCCCCACCCCTCATTGCAGTGCAGCACCAACGCCACAGTGACGAGGGGCGACGCCGCCGGTAACCTCACGAACGTGACCTTCACCTGGGTTGCTCCACCCGCATCGTCCGCGTCCTCCGTGGTCTTTGTGTGAGTAACCCACCCAGAGTAATCGCTAGGTAGAGACTAACCCCCTGGTCTTTGTGTGAGTACCTCACCCAGAACCATCCCTAGGTAGAGACTAACCCCGTGGTCTCTGCGTGAGTACCTCACCCAGAGTAATCGCTAGGTAGAGACTAACCCCCTGGTCTTTGTGTGAGTACCTCACCCAGAACCATCCCTAGGTAGAGACTAACCCCGTGGTCTCTGCGTGAGTACCTCTCCCAGAGTAATCGCTAGGTAGAGACTAACCCCGTGGTCTCTGCGTGAGTACCTCACCCAGAGTAATCGCTAGGTAGAGACTAACTCCGTGGTCTCTGTGTGAGTACCTCACCCAGAGTAATCGCTAGGTAGAGACTAACTCCGTGGTCTCTGTGTGAGTACCTCACCCAGAGTAATCGCTAGGTAGAGACTAACTCCGTGGTCTCTGCGTGAGTACCTCACCCAGAGTAATCGCTAGGTAGAGACTAACCCCGTGGTCTCTGCGTGAGTACCTCACCCAGAGTAATCGCTAGGTAGAGACTAACTCCGTGGTCTCTGTGTGAGTACCTCACCCAGAGTAATCGCTAGGTAGAGACTAACCCCGTGGTCTCTGCGTGAGTACCTCACCCAGAGTAATCGCTAGGTAGAGACTAACTCCGTGGTCTCTGTGTGAGTACCTCACCCAGAGCTTTGGGGGGACCCACCCCCCACATACTTCGATGTCACAGTGCCAGATGTATTGCTTCGAGTTGCGTGTGAAGGCGTCGGGGAGGCACGGTAGGGTTTGCCCCGGCCCCACACCCCGCCCCCACCCCTATGGACGGCACTGGCTACTCTGTGTGCGTGTCCTTTGTAAGGCTACGCACACCTTACATACCCTTCTAAGATATTAAAACACCAAAATTTACGCTTATTGCCAGGCATCGTGTCCATGTTAGAACATGCGAACCAACCACGCTTCGATGCTCCGTCCCTGAATTTGATTGGCCTGCACCAGAGACGCAGCAGCAGCCTCCTCCTCTGTGGCTGTGTCTCTCTGCTGCTGCTATAGGCCAGTGGTTCTCACCCGGGGGTTACCCGGACTCCTGGGGAGGGGTAATGTGACAATGTCCCAGAGGGGTTAATGTACGTGAGGTGATTCATAAACGCGTGTGAAGTTAATCGCTTGCACTTACTAGCTACTTAGGGATACCTCACAAATGGATAGTTGCTTAAAATATTGACGCTCATTATTCATGCTGCATTTGTTTCTCAAAAAACATGTTCTGAAAAATAAATGTATGGATAGAGGTCGAGATACCAAAGGCTACCAAATGGCGAACCGTACAAGGACAATGCCAACACCAAAGTATCAATGGCTCGCGTTAAGCGACATTATCTCTTGGACCCTTTGTGCCAGTAGCAAGATGCCTTGTAATCGGTGTCTATTTGGTAGTTTGAACATCCTTAAGCTTCCTGCATTTATATCCAGAAAGCGCTGAAGTCTTTCTTCTGTTTTTTATCGTTGTACGTCTTTATACAATACCGGCAAAAGAGTCCCATAGATGATACCACTGGGAGTGCTATGCTCGAAATGTCACGCTCATCACCAAATCTGCCCACATGCCCACCGCATGGTCTCACGCCTGCTCAGCTGCCCTCCCTTCTCGCCTTGGACCCTTCCGTCCCAAAAAGCCTCTCCTTAACCTCGCACCTACCACCAGCCAGAGACCAAATGGAACATCTTCAGCCAAAACCTAAAGCCTCTTTTTCTTAACCCAACCCGTCGCTAATATCCTAACTGCGAGCCCATGTTTGGAAACAGGAAATTTAATGCGAGATCACAGTGTTAGTCTAGGTTAGCCTCGTTAAGGTAATGATGATGATGATCTTTAATCTGATTTATCTACCCTTATGACAGTGCGACCATTGTCCAGTCGAAAGGAGTTTGGGTTGTGAATGTGACATCGGTTCCAGTCAAGAATGCAGGTGCGTGAACACACACATACACGTCACACGCACGTTACACTCACGTTACACGTCACACACACGCGTCACACACACGCATCACATGTCACACACATGTTACACACACACATCACACACACGTGACAGACACACACACACGTTCCGCGTTATGACGATGCGTCTTATCTTGGAACGACAGAATACAACCAAACGCCCAGCACCGCCGTTACCACCAGTCAAATGAGTACCGCCAGCACTGCCGCCACCACGGGCACCACGGGCACCACGATTACCGCCAGCACCGCTAGCACCGCAAGCACCGCCAGCACCGCCAGTACCGCCAGTACCATCAGCACCGCCAGTACCGCCAGCACCGCTAGCACCGCAAGCACCGCCAGCACCGCAAGCACCACCAGCACTGCCAGTACCGCTAGCACCGACAGCACCGCCAGCACCGCCAGTACTGCCAGTACCGCCAGCACCGCCAGCACCGACAGCACGGCCAGTACCACGACTACCGCCAGTACCACGAGTACCGCCAGCACCGCCAGCACCGACAGCACCGCCAGTATCACCAACACCACCAACGCCGCCAGCGCCGCCAGCAGCAGTGCCGGCACCGCGACGGGCACGGCGATGGCGAGCCGCTCGCTGGCTCCCGTGCCGTGGTGCTCCCTCCTGCTCACGCTGCTCTTCGCTCGGGCGCTGGCGGTCGTCGCTACCTCTGGGTGATCAACGAGACAACCGAAAACATCTCTCTTCTCTCTGGAGCCTCCCTCCTCCTCATCCTCCATCCGCCTCCCTCCTGCTCATCCTCTTCCCTCATCCTCATCATCTTCCTCCTCTCTCTTCCTCATCCTCCTCCCCCTCCTCCACCCTCCTCCACCCTCCTCATCCTCCCTCTTCTTTTGTTTTCTAGTATTGGACGCCGTGGTGGTTAAGGAGATGTTAACTACCTCGCCTGGTATGCAGGAGGTTCGTGGGTTCCGATCCCGAACCCTGGCGACGCCTGCTCTATATTTCTAGTTTGCAGTGTCTCTCTCCCTGTAGGTCCTCCAATTTTTTTTCCATTCAACATTTATAATCAACGTCACGCGTTTAAAGTATTTGGCTGATATACATTTCCACGTGGTGATGATGATGATGATAAGCCACTTCGTTGAGCTATCATTTTTGATAGCCAGGTCGCTTCTTTAAAAAACGTGTAGTGTACTAATTCACAGACACTAGTAGGCGGTACTCTCTCTCTCTTTTATTCCGGCCTTCACAGCCTTAGGGGATAACTACACACCGGGTCGGGACAGCCAACACGCTGCCAGACCCACAGCTTGAAGAGGGCGAAGATCACGACGACAACGTCACGACGAGGTCCACTCCAGATCGCAGCAGCCCCGACTGTGAGTCGGAGGTCGCCTGTTATCCTGAACGGCGTGTCCAGGCTCCGCCCTCGGCCCCGTCCCCCTCTGGATCCCCCAGAGGGCTCCGTGCCTTGCCCACAGGCCCAGCTGGTAGAACGGGCCGCTACCCCTCATTCCATCGTCTACCAAACTCCCAGCGGCACGCGCCACAGTGACTCATTCAATGTCACTACAATGGTATAGTTTAGTTTCAAGAACGTTGTATATTTGTTACTGCGTTTTAAACTATGAGAAGCACCTTGAGCTAAGGCGCTCTCTACAGACACAGTACACGAGACAAGATTTCATGTTCCCTGATTAGAATTACGAAACGATTTTTTCTTTTTCAATCGCCAGATCTGTAATTTGATTGAATACAAATTATAATATGAGTACATATACATTTTATATGATTACAATAACATAATACGATTACAAAACAATGCAATATTATTACAATGCATTGAATGTGAATACAGTAGCCCCCCCTCTGTTGATCTGAAAAGCTCACAGTGATGATGAAGTCACCTTCACTCTATTTAAGACCGGAAGCAGGAAGACTTTCTTCAGAATTCTGGCAATTCGCCTGATGAAGCTGGTTGTTGTTCTAATCACCAGGGGAAAAACGTCGTACTCGAATTATAAACGTTGTGGGTTTACTGTCCAGACACACAACCGGTTTAGTGCTGAAGCAGTAACTAATTGTGCACGTGACACACCCCTACTCATTGGCTGTGTCGGGTGGTGGTAGTGGTGGTGGCGGGTTTAACAACGCTATATTAACGCGATCTAAACCAAAATAAATACTTTATTAAGAATAATATTGGTCGCGAAAGCCCTACAACTACTACTCTGCGTTAAACAAGTTGGTGAATGCAGAAATACGGAGTGTGGTGGTGGTGGTGGGTTAGGGGTGGTATAGTGGTTCGCACTACACTGCACTGTGAACCCGGTTCCCGAGTTCGATTCCCGCTCACGGCCTCCAACACCAATGACGATTATCTGGGCCTCCCTTAGGTCCACTCAGCCTCAAACGAGTACCCTGATGCGGTGTGTAGTAAACATCACCCACTGGGGGAGACAAAGGCCGCCGAGCGTGGTGCTGACCACCCACCCTCTCGTGTGCCGGCCTTCATCGGTGCTGCTACTCGCTAAGAGAACTTGTCCCAACAGTCTGAAAGCTACACGGGGGAGCTTTGTTTTGTTGGTGGACCGCAAGGACTGTCTGGAAACCCTGAATTAAATAATTATTCAAATCCTCCTGTTGAAATACCTTCGTGGTATGAGTTGTATCTTCCTTTTGAGCTGTTTAAAGCCAACCATATGCTACGTACTTTTGATGCCGGGTGAGTGCTGAGACAGGTGAGGGCTAGACTTCAGGTGAGGGTTGAGACCGGTGAGGGTTGACAGGTGAGGTAAACAAATCACTTCAAACATGAATACAAATAAAACGAAACTGTGTTTTTTTTTATCTTACCAGGTATGGCCCACTGAGCCATTGTATTTAAGAAGTGACCTGGCTTTCGCAAATAACAGTTCAACGAAGTGGCTTATCACCGTCACGTGACCAAGGATCAGGTATCAGACTGGTGCTGTTTGCTGAGTTGTGAATGCGGAGCAATTCCACCTGTTGCACTTCATGGTGAGTGCCAGGTGAAAAGCAGGTGAGTGCGGCGTTGTCGGAACATCGTCGTCGTTAAAATTCCACTCAAGAGGATCCCGCAAAATATGTATTGTTTCTACAGTAGGGGGCGATGTTGCTTGCTAACGTCTGATCTCGACACCGAGTGATTTGTCCATGCATTTTTGACCACTGGAATGCTTTGGCCAATACCGATGATATGCAAAGGAATTTGTCTACATGCTTGGAAAGTCTGCTGACATGGGACAACGACTGCACGAAAGAAGTGAGAGGAGCGATGATCGCAAAGGCAAATGGAGTAGTGGCAGGATTCAATAACATTTGGAGACCAGTATAAAGCACCATATTTAAGAGCGAAACAGGAGGATGATGTAGCCACAACTCTGGCTGTCGCCTGACGAGGCTGGTTGCTGTTGTAATTACCGGCGAAACGTCACGGTGCTGGAATTGTAAATGTTGTAGTGGGGTTACTCTCCTACACAGCGGTGGGCTGAAGTAGTAACGAATTGGCATCTTGTATTTACGTGACATTACTCATTGGCCCTGTTGGGTGGTGGTGGTGGTGGTGGGGTTAACGACACATTTATATTTACGCGATCAAACTCAAACAATCCTCTATTATGGATCGTGAAAGCCTACTACGTGTTAAACTCATCTGGAGAAGCGAGCAAATCGGCGACAATACCAAATTGAACATCTTAAGAACATGCGTGTTCAATACAGTTTCGCGTATACCTGCGAGACTTGGACATTGAAAAAATCAACAAAGATAAGATATTGGCCCTCAAAATGAAAATGTATTGTTACTGAAGGATGCTGCTGCTGCACCCAGAAACTCACCAACGTTAAAATAAGAAAATTGTTGCACACAGAAAGCAACATGATGATGGTGATGCTGCTGCAGGCAGTGATGAGAAATGAACTGGCAAATTGTGGACATGTGTAGTTGGATTAACAACAACAGGAACATTTGAAGTGTTGACGACATCACAAGAGATTGGTGCCAGAGAGATGTGGCCACTACTTGAGCATATGTTATGTTTTTCTGTAATATATTGTCAATAATTAAAAGGTGTTGAATATGATAATTTCGTAATGGTTATGTAAGATATTGCCAATAATGACACGTTAAATGGCTTATTTAATAGTTTGCTTAACATAAACAAATATTCATGATCAAACATAGCACCAAATATCGTGCTATGCAATACGAATTACATTGAGTGACTTTGCGTTTAGCTATGAGAGGAAAAAAACAACGGCGTGAGAAGGGGCAACGCTCGATCCAGTACAGATGGAACAGATGGAGATTAGTCCAAACACTGCTGTACAACCTCCTACCTGGCAGAGCCAGGGGTACGGCTCCTCAACCCACACCCGCGGGCAGGGAGGGAGTTTCACCACCGATCTCTGTGTGATCCGCCAACCCTCGCTGCTCCATCCACAAAGTAGCCACCACCACTGCCCGGCTAACACAATCTTTAGGTTGGTGGTGGTGCCCTCACAAAGTGCACATAGCCTGCCACATGCGCCGTGGTGACGTCATCCACCACTTAGTGGTGAATGGCGATTGTCGTTGTTGGTTCTAATGTAGCGGTGAGCACTGCACTACGAACTCAGCGGCCCGAGTTCGATTCCCGCTCATGGCCACCAACACCAGTGACGATTATCTAAACCGGTCCTGGGCCTCTCCTAGGTCGACTCAACCGCAAACGAGTACGAGGTACGGTTTGTAAATATCGTCACTGGGGGAGACAAAGGCGGGCGGGTTAGCGTGGTGCTGGCCACCCAACCCCTCGCGTGCCACCGTGCCGGCCTTCATCGGTGCTGCTGCTGCTCGCTGCTCGTGCCACGGTGGCTGGGAGATGTTAACTACCTCGCCTGGTATACAGGAGGTCGTGAGTCCGATCTCGACCCTGACGCCTGCTGCTGCTGTAGATTTGTAGTTTGCGTGTCTCTCTCCCCGTGGTCGCGTGGATTTTTTTCCGGGTCCTCAGGTTTTTTCCCTTCGCATTTCGAAGCATGCGTTTAGAGCAGTGGTTCTTACCCTGGGGTGTACGCGGTACCCCCTGGGGGTGCGAGATGCCCTTTCTGGGGGTGCGAGACATGGTCAGACTTTTTTAGAAGGCAAATCGTCTAAAACACAAATTTTACATGGGCAGTAAGTAACAACTACTTTGTTTCAGCAACCCTACGTAACATTATAAAAAACATTTACGATTGAGAACCAAAGGGGTGCAGGCTGCAGTAAAATGTTAAGAGCCACTGGTTTAGAGTATTTGGAGGATATACATTTCCACGTGATGATGGTGATGATGAGCCACTTCGTTGAGCTATCATTTGTGATGGCCAGGACTGCATCGCTCAGTGGGCCTTCCCTGGTGAAATAAAAAAATAGTAAAGAAAAAATTATTAAACAGCACTTGTCCCAACAGTCTGCTAAGGCTATACGCGGAGGAAACTTTGTGTGAGTTTGAGACGGGGGTTTGCACATGACAGAGGCTGAACAAACACCCTGTGTGGAAAATCATTCCGTGCCGTATTGGCCCCCTACCCCATGCCCCCTCCCTCCCCCCATGCCCCCTCCCCTCCGTGTGTGCTTGTGCGAGGGGGGTGTCGGGTTACCTGCTGCGTCACGTACAAAAATACTCGCAACACAATTCACCTGGACATGCTTGGGGCAGTAGTCGTAACAGCTTACAATAACAATCTTAATAATTACACTGTGTAACCATTTTTTTTGTTCCTGGGTAGTAAGTATTATTTCTTTATTGTTTAAGCCTCAAAATACATAAAATGGATATTATTCCTTACGAACTTTGCTTTTGTGACAAGGACAGTGATATTTTGAAATGTACCTATTTTCGAGAACATTCCAGATAGATTCAGTGGTGAGTAAACTTGGAGTAACTTCTAGAACAGTTTAGAACTTTCCAGTAATATAAATAGTAATATAAATACAGGGGCCTTAAGCCCACCAGTTCAGTTTAGTTCCAGATGCCTAAGTGGATACATCTCTGCATTTTTCTGAGATGGTATCAAGAGGTTGCAAGCATCCGGCAGACGCATTTTGCTATGTCTGTGGCCCAATTTATCAAGATAAGCGAAAAAGTACTCTTGTGGAAGCATCTGCTAAGATGTGCGAGGCCTACAAGGCCTATTTCGGCATGCCTGTCGAAGATCAAGACAAACCCTAGGCACCTAATTTCACCTGCGAGAAATGCAAAAAAACTTGAGCAGGTAAGATGGACAATTGTTGCTCGGAATTTTACGTGACAAAGATTGTAAAAAAATGTTTAAATATTTTTTTTTATATTTTACAATTTTCAATGTTATTGAAAAAATATATCATATATGAAAAATGTTGCGAGAATCTCTTACACATTAGTCATTGGTGAAATAAATGTATTTTTAAGGATGGTACAGAGGGGAAAAGAGAGCCATACCGAAAGACCCAAAGAATATGAGAGCCATGAAGTTCGCTATCCAAAGAATTTGGCGGGAACCCACTGACCACTCAAGCAACTGCTACTTCTGCATGGTGGACCCTTCCAAACATTGGACTGGCAAGAATGCACCTGCTATCATGTATCCGGACCTTCCTTCATCCATCGCCCCGGTGCCACACTGCCATGAGCTCCCCGTACCCACTCCTCCGGAGAGAGAGCAGCCGTCTTTAGAAGAGAGCAGCAAGTCAGAGAGCAAGGAAGATGTCGTAGATCCAGATGACAATTTCAGAGGTGGAGCTGAGGAGAGAAACCCATACTACCTCAACCAAAAAAACCTCAACGACTTGAACAGATATCTTGGTCTCACCAAGTCCAATGCCGAGCTTTTGACATCTAGGCTCAAGCAGTGGAACTTGTTGGATAAAAGTGTGCAAGTCGCAGATCAGAGGAAGCGTCACCAACCTTTTTGCAGCTTCTACACCAGTCAAGATGGACTCTGCTTCTGCCACAATGTGACCAGTCTGTTCGAGGCAATCGGAATCGCCTGTAACCAGAATGAGTGGCGCCTCCTCATTGACAGCTCATCCAGGAGCCTCAAAGCCGTGCTGCTCCACAATGGTAACAAGTACCCGTCTCTTCCCCTGGCTCACTCGGTGCACCTCAAGGAGGATTACAACATCATCAAGACCTTGCTGGACGCCTTGAAGCACGATGAGTACGGCTGAGAGGTCATCAGAGACTTCAAAATTGTGGTATTCCTGATGGGTCTCCAAGACGGTTTTACCAAGTTTCCCTGCTTGCCTTTGGGACAGCAGGCACACCAAGGCGCACTACCACAGGCAGGACTATCCACAGCAGACCGAGATCTCTGTGGGGAGGAACAACGTCAAGTGGGAGCCACTGGTGGACCCCCGGAAATTGCTGATGCCACCACTGCACATTAAATTGGGCCTGATAAAACAATTTGTCAGAGCAGTAAATAAGGAGTCGGCAGCCTTCAAGTACCTTCAACACTTCTTCTCTAAGCTGAGGCAAAGGTCAAAGCCGGTGTCTTCGTCAGACCACAGATAAAGAAGATCCTGGAGTGCAATGAATTCCCCAAGAAGCTCACTAGTAAGGAGAAATCGGCTTGGAACAGCTTTGTCGCAGTGGTTCGTGGCTTCCTGGGCAATCACAGGGTCGAAAACTATGTGGAGCTGGTTGAGACTGGTGATGAACTACTGCACAATGGGCTGTAGGATTTCCCTCAAAGTCTATATCATTGATGCTCATCTTGATAAATTCAAGGAGAACATGAGAGCGTACTCGGAAGAGCAAGGCGCTACCAAAGACAGTATAACGAGAACATGATGGGACACTACATTTGCGGGCTGATTCGTGAAAGTGATTTACAGTATAATCGTAAATCTCGAAAAACTACTCACTTCTAAATTTTTTGTAGTAATTTTTGTATTACTTTAGTATAAATGCACAAATTCACCCGTTTTCTCATTGAAAATAGGTCAATTTCTAAATTTCACTGTCCTGGTCACAAAAGCAAAGTTTGTGGGGAATAAGAGCCATTTTCTATACTTTTTAGGCATAAGCAATTACGAAATAACACTACCCAGAAACAAAAATTGTTACGTAGTGTTATTATAAATCATAATTATTGTTATTATTGTTTTGGCAGACTGCCTGATGGCAAAACTTTGTTCTTTTACAAATTTAGCCTGAATGTTTGAGTTGTCGCAAATTATCCACTTTTTAATTTTAGAACAAGAGTAATTTTACATTTAATTTCTTCATCTTAAGATGTCCCTTCATTCGTGCCTCTTGCTTCTCAATTTGGACATCAGAGACCCATCTTACAACGTTGCTCCAATGTTGTGGCAAACTTTGGCCGAACATTGGCTTAACTTTAATATAATGTTGGCCCAACGTTGGTGTAGCGTTGGCCCAACGTTGGACAAATGTTGGCACAACGTTGGGATAGGTCCCAACAACGTTGGGATAGGTCCCAACAACGTTGGGATAGGTCCCAACGTTGTGCCAACATTTGTTCAACGTTGGGCCCTAACCTTTCCATGTTTACCTCGAGTATGCAGCGAGCGAAGTTGACGTGAGCACGATGTTCATCTCAACCCCCGAGTTTTCCCTTCACCACGCGAGGCGGGTTGTTTGCTGTGCGCGTCTCGCCGGTAAACTCCGTCGCAAAACAATGGAACGGGTCGCTCGGGGGCGAGAGAGAAGATTGTAAGATCAAACCATGGTTAGTAAGGAGGGGGCCGCAATGTCTGTTTGCCGTTTACTTTAGAGGGTCAGATGTCCCCCCGCTGTTGCCTGTGTGCCGTGTGTTTGTCGAACGTACGTCGCACCGAACGTAGCCCACCGTGCCCATCGGAAGTGCGGCTATGTTGGCTTAACACACGATGGGTGGTTTCTATATACTATATATACACATATACATATCGCGTGGTGCTTTCAGATGCGTTGCTTCTGTGGCCGTCTGGAACGCTCTTCCTTCGGAGATCAGTGGTTCTTAAACTGGGGTGCACGCACCACCCCCTGGGGGGCGAGATGCCCTTTCTGAGACGCAAAGGGGTACAAGGCTGCTGTAAGGGTTAAGAACCACTGGTCTAGATTGACAAACTCATTGCGTTTTGTGTTTAGTTTGTTGTCCTTCCCCCCGCCCCCCCCGCATCTCCAATCAGCACGGTTGGCTACGTACGGTGCGAAATAAGTTCAACATACATACATACATATAAACTCAACTCAACTATTTTATTTACCAGGTAAGGCTATATAGATGTTTTTTTTCAGAAGCGACCTGGCCACAAATGATAGCTCAACGAAGTGGCTTATCGTCATGTGAAAAAATGTAGCGCAGTCAGATTCTCTAAACGAGTGGTGTTGATTCTAAATTGTAGGGAAAAAATATAAAACCCGGAGAAAAATCCACGCAACCACGGGGAGAGAACTCACATTCAAACTCCAGATATACAGCAGGCGTCAGGGTACGGAACGAACCCACAACCCCCTGCATACCAGGCCAGGGAAATAACATCTTGCCTCC